GGTAGGCAGGGAGGGAGGCAGGCAGGCAGAGGCTGGGAGATTGGCAGGGAGGGAGGCTGGGAGGTAGGCAGGGAGGGAGGCAGGCAGGCAGAGGCTGGGAGGGAGGCAGGGAGGGAGGCAGGCAGGCAGAGGCTGGGAGGTAGGCAGGGAGGGAGGCAGGCAGGCAGAGGCTGGGAGGTAGGCAGGGAGGGAGGCAGGCAGGCAGAGCCTGGGAGGTAGGCAGGGAGGGAGGCAGGCAGGCAGAGGCTGGGAGGTAGGCAGGGAGGGAGGCTGGGAGGTAGGCAGGGAGGGAGGCAGGCAGGCAGAGGCTGGGAGGTAGGCAGGGAGGGAGGCTGGGAGGTAGGCAGGGAGGGAGGCAGGCAGGCAGAGGCTGGGAGGGAGGCAGGCAGGCAAAGGCTGGGAGGTTGGCAGGGAGGGAGGCAGGCAGGCAAAGGCTGGGAGGTTGGCAGGGAGGGAGGCAGGCAGGCAGAGGCTGGGAGGTAGGCAGGGAGGGAGGCTGGCAGGCAGAGGCTGGGAGGTAGGCAGGGAGGGAGGCTGGGAGGTAGGCAGGGAGGGAGGCTGGGAGGGAGGCAGGCAGGCAAAGGCTGGGAGGTTGGCAGGGAGGGAGGCTGGGAGGTAGGCAGGGAGGGAGGCTGGGAGGTAGGCAGGGAGGGAGGCAGGCAGGCAAAGGCTGGGAGGTTGGCAGGGAGGGAGGCTGGGAGGTAGGCAGGGAGGGAGGCTGGGAGGTAGGCAGGGAGGGAGGCTGGGAGGTAGGCAGGGAGGGAGGCAGGCAGGCAAAGGCTGGGAGGTTGGCAGGGAGGGAGGCAGGCAGGCAAAGGCTGGGAGGTAGGCAGGGAGGGAGGCAGGCAGACAGAGGCTGGGAGGTAGGCAGGGAGGGAGGCTGGGAGGTAGGCAGGGAGGGAGGCAGGGAGGGAGGCAGGCAGGCAGAGGCTGGGAGGTAGGCAGGGAGGGAGGCAGGGAGGTAGGCAGGGAGGGAGGCAGGGAGGGAGGCAGGCAGGCAGAGGCTGGGAGGTAGGCAGGGAGGGAGGCTGGGAGGTAGGCAGGGAGGGAGGCTGGGAGGTAGGCAGGGAGGGAGGCTGGGAGGTAGGCAGGGAGGGAGGCAGGGAGGGAGGCAGGCAGGCAGAGGCTGGGAGGTAGGCAGGGAGGGAGGCTGGGAGGTAGGCAGGGAGGGAGGCTGGGAGGTAGGCAGGGAGGGAGGCAGGCAGGCAGAGGCTGGGAGGGAGGCAGGGAGGGAGGCAGGCAGGCAGAGGCTGGGAGGGAGGCAGGCAGGCAGAGGCTGGGAGGTAGGCAGGCAGGCAGAGGCTGGGAGGGAGGCAGGGAGGGAGGCAGGCAGGCAGAGGCTGGGAGGTAGGCAGGGAGGGAGGCTGGGAGGTAGGCAGGGAGGGAGGCTGGGAGGTAGGCAGGGAGGGAGGCAGGGAGGGAGGCAGGCAGGCAGAGGCTGGGAGGTAGGCAGGGAGGGAAGCTGGGAGGTAGGCAGGCAGGCAGAGGCTGGGAGGGAGGCAGGGAGGGAGGCTGGGAGGTAGGCAGGGAGGGAGGCTGGGAGGTAGGCAGGGAGGGAGGCAGGGAGGTAGGCAGGGAGGGAGGCTGGGAGGGAGGCAGGCAGGCAGAGGCTGGGAGGTAGGCAGGGAGGGAAGCTGGGAGGTAGGCAGGCAGGCAGAGGCTGGGAGGGAGGCAGGGAGGGAGGCTGGGAGGTAGGCAGGGAGGGAGGCTGGGAGGTAGGCAGGGAGGGAGGCAGGGAGGTAGGCAGGGAGGGAGGCTGGGAGGGAGGCAGGCAGGCAGAGGCTGGGAGGTAGGCAGGGAGGGAAGCTGGGAGGTAGGCAGGCAGGCAGAGGCTGGGAGGTAGGCAGGGAGGGAGGCTGGGAGGTAGGCAGGGAGGGAGGCTGGGAGGTAGGCAGGGAGGGAGGCAGGCAGGGAGGCAGGCAGGCAGAGGCTGGGAGGTAGGCAGGCAGGCAGAGGCTGGGAGGTAGGCAGGCAGGCAGAGGCTGGGAGGTAGGCAGGGAGGGAGAGGATGGATTGATTGATGGATGGAGGGATGGATGGAAGGATGGAGGTAGGAATGGAAGGATGGAGGGAGAGAGGGATGGATGGATGGATGGATGGATGGATGGATGGATGGATGGATTGATTGATTGATTGATGGAGGGATGAAGGTAGGGATGGATGGATGGAGGGAGAGATGGAGAGAGGGATGGATGGAGGGAGGGATGGATGTATTGATGGATGGAGGGAGGGAGAAGATGGATGGAGGGAGAAGGGGGATGGATGGATGGATGGATGAATGGATGAGTGGATGGAAGGATGGAGGGAGGAAGGGATTGATGGATGGAGGGAGGGATGGAGTGGAGGGAGGAAGTTAGGGATGGGAGGGAGGGAGGGATGGGAGGGAGGGAGGGAGGGATGGATGGATGGAGGAAGGGAGGGAGGGATGGATGGATGGATGGATGGATGGAGAGAGGGAGGGAGGGATGGAAGGAGGGAGGGAGGGAGGGAGGGATGGAAGGTGGGAGGGATTCAAGGAAGGAGGGAGGGAGGGAGGGATGGAAGGAGGGAGGGAGGGAGGGAGGGATGGATGGAAAGAGGGAGGGATGGAAGGAAGGAGGGAGGAAGGGAGGGAGGAAGGGAGGGAGGGAGAGATGGATGAATTATGGAGGGATGGATGTTGAGTTGAGGTGAAGCAGAGAGAGAGTGTGTATGGGATGTAGGGGGGGCTGCGGGTGGGGGAGGTGTGTCAGTGGTGGGGAAGGACCGCCTCACTCTGATAAGTCTAACACACTTGAGCCAGTTAACCAGATTTGTTTCTTATCCCTTTAACTGCGCGGCCTATAAATATGGCACTCCCCTAGTGCGCAGGAAATAAATTATCCTGAAAAAATTCTTTAGTTTTTTTAAAGTGTCAAAAACCCTTCCCCCAGTATGGGTATGTCAAAACAAATTTGAACTTGTACTTACTTCGGCTGCTATGGGGTCCATAAGATGGCGTGTGACGTCATCATTCCCCGTGCGCCCGTGCAGTAAGCTCCCGGGGCCGGTGGGGCGCCCGGGGCGGGGAGCGCGAGTTGCCGCGAATATATTTTTGTTCATTTTTTGCGCACAGTTCCAAATACATTTTATTTGTGTTTACGTGCTAATCCTTTGTATAATGAACACGTACACTATATTATGGCAGTAAAACATCCGTACTGTCTGAGGACACTCTGTTAGGTGCATGACACTTGTGTACACATATGTTGCACATATTTACCATGCATCATGCTAATTTATGTATATATACAATCAATTTACAGACTATACACTGTCACACACTATATACATTCACCATCAACACATTCAGAACACCACGAGTGTGAGCAGCTACACCCAGCCAGCCCTCCCTCACTCCTCCAACATTGTATTCGCCAACATTGCTCCTTCCATCATACAGTTATTCACACCAATGTTTCATGTTCATTTATGTATATTTACAACATATGTACACACTATACACTGTCACACACTATATACATTCACCATCAACACATTCAGAACACCGCGAGTGTGAGCAGCCACACCCAGCCAGCCCTCCCTCACTCCAACATCTTACTTGCCAACATTGCTCCTCCCACCATACTGTTATTGTATTTATTACACGATTTACACATGTTATATATACCTTTCTACATGTTTTATTTACCAGAACTATGCAAGTAAGCCAGTATTGTGTCCAAACAGTACAGTGGCCACCATACACTGCATGACAAATCACACAGCAGACAGCAGACGACGCCACGATTACGACGTCACCTCCCTCACCAAAATAGCTCCTCACAACATACTCCTGGTGCTGTTATTACACTATTCACACACACTGTATATACCCATGTACATGTGTGTTCCCCATAGCGAACCACGAAGCTAGTACGGTGAGCAAAACAAGAGTTACTGCCACACAGTGAGGCTACCTCAATTCTCCCCCTTCCTCCCTCCCTCACCAAAATTCCTCCTTCCTATGCACAACGCTCATTATAACCACAATCCTGGTCACTAATACCTGTAAATGAATAATTGACCACAAGTTTATTTTGAAAAGGAACCTAAAAAGTCGTTTGAAGATTCCTAGATGGACGAAATAATGCTGTGGTGCTGTGGCTAGCGCTGTGAACATCGTGAACAGCATTGAATCACTGATATTTGAACATTGTACCCAGTCATTATCACACTCGGGCTCTTCTATAATACTATCATGGCTAAATAAAACAGATTATATATATATTTTGACAAAATTAGGCGATGCTGTGGTCACACGCTGAACAGCAGTGCTGTGCGCTCATGCTGCGAGCGCCAGCCTTGGTTGCTCACTCACTACCGAGGCTCTGACACCCAGCAATGTGGACCATGATTTTTTTTAAGATGGCATCTGTTTACAAGAGCCCTGAGGAAGCTGATGTGAACCCCATGTAGCTGCGGGAGTTTTGAATGGAACATGAAAAATAAAAAACAGACCCAAAGCCTGGGCCTGCAGGCGCATTGCGCAGTTAAAGGGTTAAATTCTGGATGTACATCATCATATATATATATTTTTGGTTACAGATTTTGTTTAGTAATATTATTAAGATAATAAAAAGTTATAAAATACTTGTTTCATGAATGCTATATTGTATTAGATGGAGATTCTCTGGCTGGCTGGGGATGTGGGGGGGGGGGGGAGAGGTTCAGTGAGGGGTGAGGGAGGGGATGAAAGAGGTAGGCAGCCTGCTTGCCATGTGAGGACCCCCTGATGCCAAAACAAACTCAGTACCGACCTTCGGTAATATCGACCGCCAGACCGGCATATGAGGCTCTAGATACCAGTCTCCCAAACCGGTCATTATTACCGGCAGATCGGTATAAAAGAGGCCGTTAAATTGAGTGGATACTTACAGTAAAACTTTATCAAGTGTCATGTGATTACTTTTTGCAGAATATTGTAAAATAAAAATCTCCTAAGTAAGCAGTCAAATGTTTCACTGTTCTTGCACTATCAGAATTTGGGGATCAAAGCAGTGAGGCTCAATTCAATTATGGAAGCTAGCGACTACCTGAACAACTTGACCTCCATCACCAACTACACTGCTGTGGACCCGCTGCTGGGAGACTCAAATGACGTCAAGCTGTTGGCTGCTCTTTTACACCAGAAGGGAATGTATTTGTTAATGGACATGCCACTAAATTCTCTGCAAGTCACTGTTCCAGGCAAGTCAGTATTTTTTATTTATTAACTTTCCTGTAAATCTCTCTCTATTTCTATATTACCCCATTGTCCTTCTATCACCTGATAGCTCCCCATAAAAGAGAGGCCACAACAGACATTTCTATATAAAAATTGCTTAATTTATTTTCAAATATATGAAACTTTCTGGGGGAGCCCCTTGTGGACTTCTTTGTGAACCTGTTTTTGGCCTGCCAGGAACCATGAGTCAGAACATGGTCCTCATCAGAGAGGTGCAGAAGGTAGTGGCGCTATAATAACCAAATTTATCATGTCGGCTACCACTAGCGAAGGACCCACAAAGTCAGTGAAACAAAACAGACCACAGCTAATGAGTGGTCAAAATAATTAAACAGAGAATCCTGAGCCTAATGTTTCTCCATTATGGTGTATAATAAAATTATATCTGCATGTTTCCTCATATTACTTAAATTAATGTGTACAGTATATGTATGTATTGTAATGAATTTATGCTGAACTGAAAAAAATAAGTGCTTTATTTATCTTTTCTCATTACAGTTATGGGAAACATTGCAAATGAAGAAGGGGTAGGAAATGCAAAAAGTATCCATAGTGTGAGTCTTGCGGAGGTGTACCCCGTGCTGCAGTACTGGTTGTCTCTTGGTGTTGATGGCTTCTTTTTCACAGACATCACTCAGGTCTGTGTGCCATTTATAATGGTTATTTGTTATTTTTTCAACTTGTTGCCAAAATATAAATTTAATGTGTTTGTTATTCCTTAAACCTTAAATGGCGCATGGCAATATACCATTTGACACCCACAGGTGCAAACAAGAAAAAAAAAAAATTTTTTTTCTTCCTAACCTGTTAATTTGTGTTCACTGATCATGGGAAAAATAATAAAAAAATCGTAAGTGGCATATATTGCCCGCTATAGGGCGGGGAAGTCTGGCAAAAAACAGGCGCTGACTCAGCATGCGTCCCAGGCGGTCTGTTGCTTGCCAGCTGTCAGGCCGGAGTTGCCACAAAGAGATAATTACCTAATTATTTCACTGTCTCTGATTGATTTTTCATAGTTTTTTTGCTGTAATATTATTCAATAGTGTGTAGTTTGATATATTTATATAATAAAATGAGTGAATCATTTCTGTACCCAAAAATATCGTGTGCATATTGTTGATTCAATTATATTCATCAAACAGTGAACAAATACTTTGTCAGTTATTACACTATATACACAGGTTATATATAAGTATCTGTATGTTTTGTTCACCTTAATGAACCACTAAGTTGGTATTATGAGTCTAAAAGTAACGAGGAGTGACCGCCGTGTACCAGCCAGCCACTCACGCCCTCCCTCAACACGTCACCCACATTCTCCTCCCACAATACTGTTTTTGCTTTTATTCACTATATACAGACGTTATATATAAGTATCTACATTTGTGTTCACCACAATGAACCACTAAGTTAGCATGTTGAGTGGCCACTTGCTGCCACTGCCTCCCTCCCTCACCTCACCTGACTTGCCACCATTCTCCTCCCATCATACTGTTTTTGCTTTTATATACAGACGTTATATATAAGTATTTACATGTTTTGTTCACCATGACAAACCACTAAGTTGGTATGCTGAGTGGCAGTGGCAGTGGCAGGCAGTGACTGGCTGCCACTGGCTGCCACTCCCTCCCTCACCTCACCTCACCTGACTTGCTACCATTCTCCACCCACCATACTGTTTTTGCTTTTATATACAGACGTTATATATAAGTATTTACATGTTTTGTTCACCATAACTGTACTTCTTAGCTTGTATGGTGAGTAAAGGCACAGAGACGAAGCTACTCACACAGTCAGCTAGTGGCGGCCACCCTCAAGGCCAGACGCACTAATATTTCTCCTCCAACAATACTGTTTGTGGTGTTATTACGCTATATACACACATTATATATAAATATCTACCTGTTTTATTCACCATACTTGTACAAGTAAATGGTGCCCAAAGACCATCGTGGTCATCAGTAAACAACATGATAAGTCCTGCAGACGACGCCACCGCCCTCACCAAAATGGTGGCTCCCAACCTACTCCTCTTGCTGTTTATACCCTCTATACACACGTTATATGTAAGTATCTACATTTGTATTCACCATAGCGAACCACTAAGCTGGTATGGTGAGTGCAGTCAATAAAAGGTGGCCACACACAGTCAGAAGACAACACCACCACCCTCCCTCCCACAGCATTACTCCTCCCTCTATGGCGCACAGCACTAAATATCACCACATCCTGCTATTATCAGAACCCTGGTCAGTTTTATCACAGTCAGGGGGCTTCTGTAATAATATCATCGCTACATAATAGCATGAACAAGTATATTATGGCATTATTAGGCGATGCTGTGGTCACAAGTTGAACAGCAGTGCTGTGAGCTCATGCTGCGTGCATCAGGCTTTTTAGCTCACTCAATACTGAGACCCCTAACACCCGGGAATTTGGCCGACGATTTTTTTTTTAAATGGCGTTTGTTTACAAGAACCCTGATGAAGGTGCGGTGAACCCCGTGTATCCGCGGGCCGTTTAAATCTTACGTAGTAATCCAGAGCATCATATGATGCGATGCGCAATTTTCTGCAAGTCGGTCAAAGCATCATATGTTGCCATGCGCAATTTAAGGGTTAAAGTGCAATACTACTCGCCTTGTTGCGCTTGTGGGGGGGTTGAGCTTTGACACTTTGGTCCCCTCAGTTATTGTCCTGTGTTGATTCATGGGGTAATGCAGTTATCGTCATATGTTGATTTAAACTATTATTGTCTAGGTTTTATATGTATGATGCTAATATCGATATAATTTATTTATTTATTTATTTTATTTATTTATTTATTTATTTATGTATATACAAGAAGGTACATTGGGATTGTGAGGATACATAATATGGTAATTACAATCTTGTAAAGCCACTAGTACGCACAGCGTTTCGGGCAGGTCCTTAATCTAAGAAAATTTTAAGTAGGTAAATACTTGCAAAATTTATAAAAAATGATAACAGTTACAAGGCAAAAAAAAAAATAACATGAGAGAAAATTGTAGGTATATTAAAGCACATAGGTAGTTCAGATTGATTGCAGTGACAGCTTGAATGGTAGTTGTCAAAAATTGGTAGTCACAATACAGCATATGGCTAGCACATAAAAGAAGACAGCAATGAACACAATGATAAGGTTGTTTGGGTTAAATACATAAAAATTAGGAGATTGGGTAAAACTAGGTGCAGAGCAAATTTAAAGCTCAGTGTAGGAAACTAAGAAGATGAAATTAGGTACGTTTTGTTTTTGTTTTTAAATAAGGCAAAAGTTTGACAGCTTTTCAGTTCACTAGGGAGTGAGTTCCATAGACTATAATAGCTCTATGTGGATGTAATAGAGTTTACTTTCACACACATGAAAAAATCCTGCTATTATTTCATGGTTACCTTACTATGTGAATGCAGTTATCGTCACAAATGTTAATATGCAAATACAGTAATTGTCATTGTATAAAATTCTGTTATAATTACATAATTACTACAGGGACCCCTCCAGAAAGGCGCAGGAACCGGTGTCATTATGATAAATTGTCTGTGAATTTTAATCATCACCACTACCAGGGAAGCACCCAGAAAGTCAGTAAAACAAAACAGACCGCTTCTGGTTTGAAGTGAGATCAATACCTCAATATCACCAAGAGAACTCCTCCAACAATGTAAACAAATGATCAAAAATTCATGAAACTAGCATGATCTTCACCCTACCTCATTTGTAGGGAGGAGGGGGAAGGGGGCAGACCGGGTCACCAGCTCATGGTAGACTTCTGAGGTACCTTCTTTGTGTGTGTCTCTCTCTCTCTCTCTGGCTCCCATGTTCTACTGCAGCTAAGTGGTGGTTTCTTGCCTTTGTGGCTGTTCCAACACACGTTCTTGCTGTGTGAGCCAGGAGTATAAGGTGCTTGGAGCTGCATGTGCAGAAAGTTTTCTTTGTGTGCTCCCTAGCATTGCCCTTGTGTTAATACTTGCTTGTAGTTTGCTTCTCATTGGGAAGCAATGTACAGTAGTACAAAACACCCATGGCATTTTCTTCTTTATTGTAACAAAATATAATTACAGTGGTACCTCGGTTTAAGAGTTTAATCCATTCCTGGAGACAGCTCGTAACCCGAAAACTCTAAGCTAATTTCCCCATAAGAAATAATGGGAAATGAATTAATCCGTTCCAGACTACCCAAAAACCTCACTTCAAACTAATTTTATACTTAATTCAACTAAATCTACACTACAAAACTATGTTCAAGTTATTATTTACAATTGGTGATGAATGCTGTAGGCATATGGACGATGGTGAGGAGAGGAGAGGAGAGGAGAGGAGTTACTGTTTGGAAGGGGAGTCCCCTTCCATTATAACATCAGGCAGTGAGGACCTCTCAGGAGTGCATTCTCTGGCACGTTTTGCCTGCATACCACTAGGTCCTGGTTGTGGCTCACTGCTTGATGTTCTCACAACATATCTGTCCATGGAAGCTTGTTTTTCCCTTCTGAGCAAGATGTCTCTGTAGTGAGGCATCACATTGTCATTGAAAAGATTAAGGCAACGGCCTACTACAGCTTTCTCTGGGTGAGTCTTTTCAATAAAAGTTTGAATCTCTTCCCACATCTGACACACCTTCTTAATTTCTGCAGAAGGGACATTCGCTACTGCCTTCTCCTCCTCCACTGGAGAAACATCATCAGCTGGGTCGTCTTGCTGTTCCTTTTGAAGGGCTTGGAGTTCTCCGGTGGTCAGTTCTTCGTTGTGTTTTTCCACCAACTCCTCCACATCATCACCATCCAATTCCAAGCCCATTTGCCGGCCCAGAGTAACAATTTCCTCAACAATAGGCGCATCATTTACAGGCTCAAACCCCTCAAAGTCTAGTTCTGTCACACATTCAGGCCACAATTTTCTCCAGCCAGAGATCAGGGTTCTTTGAGTCACTTCTTGCCAGGCTTTGTCAACGAGTTTTAAAGCACTACAAATGTTAAAATGGTGTTTCCAGAACTCTTTGAGGGTGAGGTTTGTGGCTTCAGTCACTTCAAAACATTTCTGGAAAAGTGCCCTTTTATAAAGTTTCTTAAAATTTGCTATGATTTTCTGGTACATAGGCTGAGTTAGACGAGTGGTGTTAGGAGGAAGGAACTTTACTGTGAAAAATTTATTGTATCTGGGCAATAAATCATCTTCCACGCCTGGAGGATGAGCAGGAGCATTGTCGAGGAGAAGCAGGGCCTTGAGTGGCAAATGTTTCTCCTGCAGATATTTTTCTATGGCAGGGCACACCACTTCATTCACCCACTCTGTAAAAAAAATCCTAGTCACCCATGCCTTATTATTAGCCTTCTACATCATACACATTTGGGTTTTCTGCACTTTATACTGTTTGAAAACCCTTGGATTTTCAGAATGATACACTAGCAAGGGTTTAATTTTCAAATCGCCACTCGCATTTGAACACAGCACAAGCGTAACCCTATCTTTCATAGGCTTGTGTCCGGGCAATGCTTTTTCCTCCTTGGTAATGTATGTCCTCTTAGGCAATCTTTGCCAGAACATTCCTGTTTCATCACAATTAAACACCTGTTGCGGTAGGTAACCCTCAGCCTCTGCAAACTCCTTAACACTTTAGCGC